TATCGCGATCTTCGGGACTACTTCGAGGTTTTTGGGCTATTTTGGGAATTTTTGGAACTATTTCGGGTTTCTCGAGTCTACTTTGAGATTTTCAGGATTTTTCGGACTATTTCAGAATTTTTGGGACAATTTCGATATTTTCGGTTTTCCCGGGAATATACCAGGATTTGTGGGACTACTTCGGAACCAATTCGGAATTTTCGAAACGATTTCGGGTTTTAAGAGATTCTCGGTATTCTCGGCTCTAAATCGAGATCTACGGGACTACCTCGGAATTTTTCGACTATTTCAGGGTTTTCGAGACTTCTTCGGTATAAGCGGTATTAATTTGATGTTTTTGGAACTATTTCGGGTTTCTCGCGACTTCTTCGGGAAGAAGAAATCCCGATATAGTCCCGGGAACTCCGAAAACCTCGGAAGTAGTCTCGAAAAACCCGAAATAGTCCCAACAATTCCTAATTGGTCCCAAAAATACCGAAGTAGTCCCGAAGATCCCGATATAGTCCCGATAACCCCGAAAATCTTTAAGTAGTTTCGAAACCCCGGAATAGTCCTGCAAATCCCGAAAAACATCCCGAAATAGTCCAAAAGTATCGAAATAGTCCCAAAAATCCTAATATATTCCCGAGAACATCGAAAATCTCGAAGTAGTCTCAAAAAACCCGAATTAGTCCCAAAAATACCGATATATTCCCGAGACCACCGAAAATCTCGAAGTTGTCCCAAAACTTCCGAACTAGTCGCAAAAATCCTGAAAATCTCGAAGTAGTCTCGAAAAAACCGAAATAGTCCCGAAAATCCCGACGTAATCTCGAAGATCCCAATATAGTCCCGAGAACCCAGTAAATCTGGAAGTAGTCTCGAAAAACCCAGAATGGTCCCGAAAATTCCGAAGAAATCTGGAAATAGTCCAACAATCTCGAAATAATCCCGCGGATCCCGATATTTCTCGAGAATCCCGAAAATCTCGAAATAGTTTCGAAAAACCGAGAACCCCGAAAATGTCGAAGTAGTCTCGAAAAACCCGAAACAGCCCCAACAATACCGAATTAGTCCCAAAATCCTGAAAAACCTGAAGGAATCTCGAAAAACCCGAAGGAGTTCCAAAAACTTCGAATTAGTCCCAAAAATCCCCAAGTAGTCCCGAGAACCCGAAAATCTCGAAGTAGTCCCGAAAATCCCGAAGATTTTCGTGGACAATACCGAATTAGTCCC